TTCACATAAATGCAATTACATGAAGTGCATTTAAAAAAAAAAAAAATCAATGGCACTGCATGTTAAAGCTCATGAAATCTAGTATAAAAACACGTTTTGGTATCTGTTCAAATATTTGGATTTTAAATGATTGCATTATAACACAAACTGCAACTGTCATACCCTCAAACCAGGATAATGTTTATCGTTCAGCTTGTACATTTTTCAGTTTAATTATGAACAGTGAGAGGATCATCCCCTTTACTGCAGGAAAGCCCTATATTTTCTCTAATTAGTCCCTGAGATTTGCTCAGGCAGTCTTGAAATTCTCAGTGACAGATGCAGCAGACTTTTGCTTTGTCATGTTGCTTTGGCAACCAATGAATATGTTGATCTACTGTCCTGACATACCAAGTGAATCAGCTTGGAATAGTCAGTTCAAATAGTACATTATGGTTTTCATAGACCTTGTACATTTAGCAAGTGATGGGATCAAGCCTTGCTTGCATTAAATGCATCATGTACAGTAGGTCTTAAAACACACAGTATGGGATTGTGCAACTAGGAAAAGTGTTTCATTTCAGCAACTTCACTCCCTGGGTACCCTTCAGCTCCACCAGGTCTGCCCTCCGTTGGCATGGTGTATGCCTCAGATGAAGCCTCCTGGTATATGTGATTTGTATAACCTAGTAAGTTGCAGGAGTGGGGCACACATCTTTCTTCCCACATAGACGAGAATGTTGGCAGGGGGCGTGGTGGACCTGGAATTGAAAAAAAAAAGAAAGATACAGGTGAAACTCAGAAAATTAGAATATCGTGCAAAAGTTAATTTATTTCAGTAATGCAACTTAAAAGGTGAAACTAATATATGAGATAGACTCATTACATGCAAAGCAAGATAGTTCAAGCCGTGATTTGTCATAATTGTGATGATTTTGGCTTACAGCTCATGAAAACCTCAAATCCACAATCTCAGAAAATTAGAATATTGTGAAAAGGTGCAATATTCTAGGCTCAAAGTGTCCCACTCTAATCAGCTAATTAAGCCATAACACCTGCAAAGGGTTCCTGAGCCTTTAAATGGTCTCTCAGTCTGGTTCAGCAGGAATCACAATCATGGGAAAGACTGCTGACCTGACAGTTGTGCAGAAAACCATCATTGACACCCTCCATAAGGAGGGAAAGCCTCAAAAGTAATTGCAAAAGAAGTTGGATGCTCCCAAAGTGCTGTATCAAAGCACATTAATAGAAAGTTATGTGGAAGGGAAAAGTGTGGAAGAAAAAGGTGCACAAGCAGCAGGGATGACCGCAGCCTGGAGAGGATGATCAAGAAAAGGCCATTAAAAAGTGTTGGACTTTCACAAGGAGTGGACTGAGGCTGGAGTCAGTCATATTCCTCTTGTCAAGCCACTCCTGAACAACAAAAAATGTCAGAAGTGTCTTACCTGGGCTAAAGAAAAACACACCTGGTCTGTTGCTCAGTGGTCCAATGTCCTCTTTTCTGGTGAGAGCAACTTTTGAAGATGCTTGAAGTCAGTGTGAAGTTTCCACAGTTTGTGTTGATTTGGGGAGCCATGTCATCTGCTGGTGTTGGTCCGCTGTGCTTCATTAAGTCCAGGGTCAACGCAGCCGTCTACCAGGAGATTTTGAAGCACTTCATGCTTCCTTCCGTAGACTAGCTTTATGGGGATGCTGACTTCATTTTCCAGCAGGACTTGGCACCTGCCAACACTGCCAAAAGCACCAAAACCTGGTTCAATGACCATGGGATTACTGTGCTTGATTGGCCAGCAAACTTGCCTGACCTGAACCCCATAGAGAATCTATGGGGCATTGCCAAGAGAAGGATGAGACATGAGACTAAACAATGCAGAAGAGCTGAAGGCCGCTATTGAAGCGTCCTGGTCTTCTATAACACCTCAGCAGTGCCAGAGGCTGATAGCTTCCATGCCACGCCGCATTGAGGCAGTAATTGCTGCAAAAGGGGCCCAAACCAAGTACTAAGGGGGGCGCTCGTGAGCAGCAGCCAGGATGGCTGCCTTCTGATTCTGCCAGGATGGCTGCCTTCTGAGTACATATGCATGCTTATACTTTTCAGAGGTCTGATATTGTTCTATGTACAATCCTTGTTTTATTGATTGTATGTAATATTTTAATTTTCTGAGATTGTGGATTTGGAGTTTTCATGAGCTGTAAGCCATAATCATCACAATTATGACATCACGTCTTGAACTATCTTGCTTTGCATGTAATGAGTCTATCTCATATATTAGTTTTACCTTTTTAAGTTGCATTACTGAAATAAATGAACTTTTGCACGATATTCTAATTTTTCGAGTTTCACCTGTAGATATAGAGATATTTTATATATATATATATACAGTCAGGTCCATAAATATTGGGACATCGACACAATTCCAACATTTTTGGCTCTATACACCACCACAATGGATTTGCAATGAAACGAACAAGATGTGATTTAATTGCAGACTGTCAGCTTTAATTTGAGGGTATTTACATCCAAATCAGGTGAACGGTGTAGGAATTACAACAGTTTGCATATGTGCCTCCCACTTCTTAAGGGACCAAAAGTAATGGGACAGAATAATAATCATAAATCAAATTTTCACTTTTTAATACTTTGTTGCAAATCCTTTGCAGTCAATTACAGCCTGAAGTCTGGAACACATAGACATCACCAGACGCTGGGTTTCATCCCTGGTGATGCTCTGCCAGGCCTCTACTGCAACGGTCTTCAGTTCCTGCTTGTTCTTGGGGCATTTTCCCTTCAGTTTTGTCTTCAGCAAGTGAAATGCATGCTCAATCGGATTCAGGTCAGGTGATGGACTTGGCCATTGCATAACATTCCACTTCTTTCCCTTAAAAAACTCTTTGGTTGCTTTTGCAGTATGCTTTGGGTCATTGTCCATCTGTACTGTGAAGCGGCGTCCAATGAGTTGTGAAGCATTTGGCTGAATATGAGCAGATAATATTGCCCGAAAAAAACTTCAGAATTCATCCTGCTGCTTTTGTCAGCAGTCACATCATCAATAAATACAAGAGAACCAGTTCCATTGGCAGCCATACATGCCCACGCCATGACACTACCACCACCATGCTTCCCTGATGAGGTGGTATGCTTAGGATCATGAGCAGTTCCTTTCCTTCTCCATACTCTTCTCTTCCCATCACTCTGGTATAAGTTGATCTTGGTCTCATCTGCCCATAGAATGTTGTTCCAGAACTGTGAAGGCTTTTTTAGATGTCGTTTGGCAAACTCTAATCTGGCCTTCCTGTTTTTGAGGCTCACCAATGGTTTACATCTTGTGGTGAACCCTCTGTATTCACTCTGGTGAAGTCTTCTCTTGATTGTTGACTTTGAAACACATACACCTACCTCCTGGAGAGTGTTCTTGATCTGGCCATCTGTTGTGAAAGGTGTTTTCTTCACCAGGGAAAGAATTCTTCGGTCATCCACCACAGTTGTTTTCCGTGGTCTTCCGGGTCTTTTGGTGTTGCTGAGCTCACCAATGCATTCCTTCTTTTTAAGAATGTTCCAAACAGTTGTTTTGGTCACGCCTAATGTTTTTGCTATCTCTCTGATGGGTTTGTTTTGTTTTTTCAGCCTAATGATGGCTTGCTTCACTGATAGTGACAGCTCTTTGGATCTCATCTTGAGAGTTGACAGCAACAGATTCCAAATGCAAATAGCACACTTGAAATGAACTCTGGACCTTTTATTTGCTCATTGTAATTGGGATAATGAGGGAATAACACACTCCTGGCCATGGAACAGCTGAGAAGCCATTTGTCCCATTACTTTTGGTCCCTTAAGAAGTGGGAGGCATATATGCAAACTGTTGTAATTCCTACACCGTTCACCTGATTTGGATGTAAATACCCTCGAATTAAAGCTGACAGTCTGCAGTTAAAGCACATCTTGTTCGTTTCATTTCAAATCCATTGTGGTGGTGTATAGAGCCAGAAATGTTAGAATTGTGGTGATGTCCCAATATTTATGGACCTGACTGTATATTTGTAATTTGCAATTTGCAAAGCTTGTGTGAAGGTCCTCTGCGAATGCAACGTTTCCCAATCCAATGAAATAACAGTCCTTACAATCAGACAATCTAGAATATTATTTTGACGTTTATGAAATATGTAGAGTATTGATTTAATAAGCCCCATTGACACCTGAATGTTTTTGTCCCTAGGTCTGACTAGACTCAATAATAAGAATTCCAATGTTTTCAATACCGGCTCTTCACGTTTCTGTGCTCGAGGCTCAAAAAGATATTGCATATGGGCATTTTTTGGAGCTGTTGTGCATTTTTGGTCCCATATACTTCAATGGAAGTGCCAATGAAAACATGATAAAAACTTTCACATGTTTTTGCCTTAAAATGTGTATATGCACCAAATGAAAGAAGGCCTTAACTGTATGTGCTGTAATGTGATGTGCTCAGATTATATGTGTGTATATCACATCTGTATGTTGCTGTGGATGCTTTTCAGGTATGAAATATATACATGTGTCCCCCCCAGGTCTTATGCTACAGATGACTACATTTTAATCGGCACATTGCAATTACAATACAATTGCGCTGCTTGTTACTGAAAACCAAGGAAAATTCCAGAGACAGATATGTCCAAGAACAAGCTTTCTGTAACGCCAGGAGTGTGAAGCCAGGAACAGTTGGCCATGTTTATTCATAGAGTAATGCAATATAATGATTGCTTAGTTTTAAAGCTGCAAGCTCCACTTAAGCTTTATCTTTTGATGAGGGGGCAGGGATTTCATAGAATAATCTGTCAGGAAAAGGAAAGGGAACAGAGATTACAAATGATTCAGTGGATTGCAATTTACTAAAGATCTTATATTATCTGGGTAGCTGTAAACGTGTTAATTCCTGTACCTAACAGATATTTTATTTACTAGGAATTATATGAAAAAATTGTTGGTATTCATTAAAGCCTTGGACTAAATTACCTGAAATTATATTATCTGACTTTATTTGCAGGAAAAACAAGCAAGGACTCTTGCCAAGTCTTGAAGATTTGCTTTTCTACACAATTGCTGAAGGTCAAGAAAAAATACCAGTTCATAAATTTATTACAGTAAGTTCATTTGAATGCTTGCGTCTTTCATGCAGACCTAGCAATAAAGGTAATGCTAAGCATATGAACAAAAGAATGGGATAGGTTTTTTACATCAGTGGTCTCCAAACTGTGGCCCAGGGGCCGGATGTGGTCATTTGCTTACTTTTATCTGGCCCTTCAGGCACTATACCTTCCACTGATACAAGGCACTATTCCACCCACTGACACCAACGATGGGGCACTATTCCACCCACTGACACCAACGATGGGGCACTATTCCACCCACTGACACCAACGATGGGGCACTATTCCACCCACTGACACCAACGATGGGGCACTATTCCACCCACTGACACCAACGATGGGGCACTATTCCACCCACTGACACCAACGATGGGGCACTATTCCACCCACTGACACCAACGATGAGGCACTATTCCACCCACTGACACCAACGGTGGGGCACTATTCCACCCACTGACACCAATGGTGGGGCACTATTCCACCCACTGACACCAATGGTAGGGCACCATTCTTTCAACTGATACTAATGAAGACACACTATACCTCTCCTTAATGCTAAAGATGGAACCCACTAGTGCCAGGACGTTTTCTACTCTCACTTGCCACAGTACGCCCCCCTGAAGTATGAATAACCGTAAACTGGCTCTTTGTTTAGAAAGTTTGGAGACCCCTGCTTTACATGAATGCTGTAAAGTCAGAGCTTTATCAGCAGACTTAGTGGAAGCTGTACTTTTTTATTTGGCCATGCTTAGATTGTTAAAACGTCCACAGGGATGGATAAGGTATGCAGCCACCTATGTGCTAAATTGAGGATTGTTTGTATGTGTGTATGTATGTATGTATGTATGTATGTATGTATGTGTGTGTATATATATATATATATATATATATAATGCGTGTGTGTGTGTGTGTGTGTGTGTGTGTATATACACAGTGAGGAACAGAAGTATTTGAACACCCTGCGATTTTGCAAGTTCTCCCACTTAGAAATCATGGAGGGGTCTGAAATTCACATTGTAGGTGCATTCCCACTCTGAGAGACAGAATTAAAAAAAAAAAATTCAGGAAATCACATTGTATGATTTTCAAAGAATTTATTTGTCTTGCACTGCTGAACATAAGTATTTGAACACCTGAGAAAATCAGTGTTAATATTTGGTACAGAAGCCTTTGTTTGCAATTACAGAGGTCAAAGGTTTCCTGTAGTTCTTGACCAGGTTTGCACACTCTGGAACAGGGATTTTGACCCACTCCTCCACACAGATCTCCTCTAGATCTGTCAGGTTTTGGGGCTGTCGCTGAGCAATACGGAGTTTCAGCTCCCTCCAAAGATGTTCTATTGGATTTAGGTCTGGAGACTGGCTAGGCCACTCCAGAACCTTGATATGCTTCTTACAGAGCCACTCCTTGGTTATCCTGGCTGTGTGCTTTAGGTCGTTGTCATGTTGGAAGACCCAGCCACGACCCATCTTCAGTGCTCTGACTGAGGGAAGGAGGTTGTTGCTCAAAATCTCACAATAAATGGACTATTAATAGCTTTATCTGGGGTAATAAACATCCACGTTTTACATCATCGGTTTTGTACCGCTCGCAACGGACGGGAGGTCTCGGCCTTCCCAATTTTTGGCTATATTATCTCTCAGCTCACTTTGCGCAGTTATCACAATGGGCAACTATTAACTCTCAGATCCCGTGGATCAAATTTGAATCTCAATCTATACGCCCATTTTACTTACCGGGTATTCTGTCATCCAAAATTTCCCCTCGATCACTTACTTTTCATAACTCCATAGTGACTCATTCACTGACACTTTGGTCCAAATACAAATTTAAATTAAACCTGGTCTCTTCTGTCCCCCCCCAGGTGCCTTATTTTTTGGTGATCCTAATTTTAATGTAGCCTTCTCCTCTCCTCAAGCGTTTCGTTGGTGGTATGATCACTCTTTCATTAGATTATCTGACTTTCAAAGAGGTGGATCTTATATTACTTTTGATATGCTCTGTGTGTGTTTTGATGTTCCTCTTCGTGAATACCACCATTACCGACAGATTAGACATTTTTTTAAAATCACATTTTGGCCTTATACCCTCTTCTCAGATTTCATTTTTTGAACGTAGCAGCTGTGACTCTCCTGGGGGTGGAGGTCTTATTTCTGATCTTTATCACCAATTTTTGATCTGTTCCTCGTCTACACCTCCTTTTATATAGACAAAAATGGGAGGAGGATAGCGGTATCATTTTTTCAGATGAGGACTGGGATTCCATGGTGGATAACATATGTAAGTGTTCTAGATCTCTCAGTTCGAGAGACTGCCCTTAAGGTTTTAACCAGATGGAATTATACCCTATAAAGGCTACATGTATTGTTCCCACAAACATCCCCTTTATGTTTCCAGTGCTGTGGCCCCACAGGTACCTTGGTTCACATATTTTGGGATTGCCGACCATATCTCTGATTTGGCGCAAGTTATCTGAGGTGGCTACTGTCACGCATCCACGGTCGCCGCCACCACCAACATGCGACAATCGCACAACCGTGACTAACAGTAATACATCACGCCCACGGCGTCAGACCCCAGACCTTCTCACCAAACTCATGACCGAAGGACCGGCCAATCTAAAACCGCGGTGTGACGCGCGTAACAAGGCCCCACCCAGCTGCACCCTGCACAGCGATTGTCCAGCTAATGGGCTACAATCGGTGCCTGCAGCCTGAATGCGCTTGTTACTGGGTTAGGTTAATTACGCCACTAACCCTTCACACTGCCACCACCGTCTTGAAATGTACAGAAAAGACGGACTCTGTCAGAAATGCACTATAATGATTGAAAAGTCATCTGTCCAATATGGTCAATTGGGCAGGGAGTAAACAAACACAGTAGCGTCTCTTCAAAAGGCAGGAATTCGTGAATTGCAGGTAAGCGCTTAAAAACAGTTTAACACTTTCAAAAAGAAAGATTTATTACTAAAAGAGTCAAACAGGTGCAATAAAATATTTACAAAGAGATGTCACAAAAATATATATATATATGTATATAAAGACTCAGCAAAGAGATAATTAGGAAGAAGATTACAGGGTTAAGTTACTTGCCCTTAGCCTGGGTTTGCAGATCCAAGTTGCAGAGCAAGACGACTCTTTATCTCCTCCTTCGATGTTAGCTGGGAGATCTGTGTAAAACTTAAAACTTCCAGGCTTGCAGCCTGTCCTTTTTAAAATCCCTCTGCCGGGGGGGGGGCCTTGGGGGGTGGCCTTGAGTCTGCCCAATACAATATGTTGGGCAGGATGTCAGTGGACTCTCAGTTAAAACTAACAGCTTCATAATCCCTGACATGAAACATAGGGGAAAAAAACTTGAGAAATGTTCAACTTTCTTTCAAGCTACCTTTATCTGTTTTATGATGGGTGAACCTACACAGTTTTGGGTCAGTGCTTCCCAATTCTTTGAGAAATGCTGGCCTTATCAGAACGTAGGTGAGAAAGGTTACAAAGGTTACATTTTCCCCAGACTGCTGGCACTAAACCAGGGATGCTTAATCTGGGCTGACCCACACCATCTGTCAGGAGATAACGTTTGCCTCTCAGGACTGCAGGAGGGTAGGGAATGAGGCTGAGGAATGAGAAATATCTTGAATAAAAAGAAAAAAAAAAGGGAAAAGGAGAACTCCGCATCCAACTATCCAACTGTTTGCTACAGCTACCTCATTGGTGGGTATCCCAGTGCAATTGTCTATACAGACCTGTTTATTGGGGGCTTATATCCCAGGGGACTCTAATGACATTATGAGATTGATACATACTATTTGTATTGCCACTTTGTGGGCTATTGCCTCACATTGGAAGTCCAATACTGTACCCTTAACCACCGTTTTGCATAGAGTTGATGCTGTGATGCTCATGGAGCGTATTCATTATACCCTATTGGATAAGATGCGCTTATTTGATAAAAAAAGGGAATCTTGGAAGGATTATAGACATTTATTACATGTTTAATAACATCCCAAGTGAAGATTGACTGGTATATATTGCTGACAGAAGTAACATTTAGCCTACTTAATCGTTCACACATTTCATGTACTTGCAATCTACCTTTTTTTCTATTTCCTCTGTTTCTTATATTAATATAATTTTATGTATTGTACTTTTCAAAAGTACCTTGTTTTTGCTGTTAATATAATTTGAAACTGTACTGTTGTTTTACAGTCTATTTTTCAAAATAAAAACGTTTGTAAACAAAACAAATCTCACAATAAATGGCCCCATTCATCCTCTCTTTAATACAGTGCAGTCATGCTGTCCCCTTTGCAGAAAAGCACCCCCAAAGCATGATGTTACCACCCCCATGCTTCACAGTAGGGATGGTGTTCTTTGGATGCAACTCATCCTTCTTTGTCCTCCAGACACGACGAGTGACGTTTAGACCAAAAAGTTCTAAACTTTCCATTAATATGCTTGGATACAGCACTCTGTGAACAGCCAGCTTTTTTAGCAATGACCTTTTTTGACTTACCCTCCTTGTGGAGAGTGTCAATGACTGTCTTCTGGACAATTGTCAAGTCAGCAGTCCATGATTGTGTAACCTACTGAACCAGACTGAAAGACCATTTAAAGGCTCAGGAAACCTTTTACAGGTGGTTTGAGTTAATTGGCTGATTAGAGTGTGGCACCATGAGTCTACAATATTGAACTTTGTCACAATTTTCTAATTTTCTGAGATACTGAATTTTGGGTTTCACTACCTGTAAGCCAAAATCATCAAATTAAAAGAAAGAAATGCTTGAAATATATCACTCTGTATAATGAATCTATATAATGAGTTTCACTTTTTGAATTGAATTACTGAAATAAATTAACTTCTAATTTATTAAGATGCACCTGTATATATTTTATTGCACCCTTCACTCATAGAAATAAATCTCTGTCAAGGTCTGCAGATTGGACAGTGGAGATGGAGTAAAAATACAGCACCAAAGTATCTATGAGATGTTTTAATGT